CATTTAAAAGATATTATTGTCCAAACACTATTCATAAAAGTTATATCATGTAAACAAATATTATTAGGGGTATATATGTCTATGCACTATTTTTAAGAGTTTTAAAAAATGAGCCAATTAATATTTAAGTAAATAAATTTTTTGAAGAATTTAATTGGTTAAACACTATTCATAGTAGTTGTTCGCAGGTAACTATTAGCTGTCAACGGTTGATTCGTTAAGATGGAATGGATTGGTATGAAATCTCATACTAGGGAGGTATGGATTCTAAACCCCATACTTGTCTAAACTTATTTGGTTTATTCTTTGAAATGGTTTTTACAATTCATTAAAAGAATGGATTGTGAATCTTGGGGATGAGGTGCAATTAGAATCCCTTGGTATGAAATTCCACATCTAAGTTTGCCTACCCAAACAATAAAATGGATAGAATGGACTTTAACTCCATTTCAATCTATTCCAAAAACTCCAACCAAACGACCCCTAAAAGTTTTGATATCATTACCCTGTACAATTTTCCATCCAAAATTTTACGAATGCACGTTGTAGAGCCCTCATATTTTAAAAAGGAAAAAACACTTTAATTAATAATCTCAACTATGGGCGATTTACTTTTTATAATCCTAACTAAGATTTTTATCTAACAATCCTAACTATGCTGTCAGTTTGCCTCCAATGGTCCCAACCGATTAATGACGAGTCAACAACCTATCATAACAGGTAACCATGACATGTATCAACACATGATTGGTCCAAAAAAAAAAATTTAAAAACATAAAAAAATAAAACAAAAAAAAGTCCCAGCCACCCTTTCCCCACCGTCAAATCCTAACCCCATCCCTAACTCGCCGAAAATCGACCAGGCACCCTCTCTTAACCACCCAAAACCGGCCAGCCGACCTTATACACCCCTTTGACCCACCCCGATCCCAAAACCACCCACCCACCCACCCAACCTAATCCCCAAAAACCACCAACCCATCCAGTAAACAAAGTGGTGATTTTTAGGGTCAGGGTTGGCTGAGAGGTGGGTCAAAGGGGGTGTAGAGGGTCGACCGACCGATTTTGGTGGTTAAGGGGGGTGGCCGGCCGATTTCCGACGAGGTTAGGGGTTGGGTTAGTCGGTTTGGTGGTTTTTGGGGGTCGGGGTTGGCTGGGTGGGTGGTTTTGGGGGGTCGAGGGTAGGTCAAAAGGGTATAGGGCCGACCGGTTTCCGGTGAGGTTAGGGGTGGGATTAGGGTTTGACGTTGGGAAAAGGTGGCTGGGAATTTTGGGTTTTTATTTATTTATTTATTTATGCTTTTTAAATTTTGGACCAATCAGGTGTTGACACGTGGCTATGCACCCCCCTCCCTACAAAAAAAGCTTTTTCTGCAGGTTACCGGTCAGGGACCATTTGAGCCAAACTAACAACATAATAGGGATTATTAGATAATAAAACTTAGTTAGGATTTTTAAAAGTAAATCGCTTATAATTAGAATTATTAAAGTGCATTTTTCATTTTAAAAATAAGCTACTTATTATTCTTATTTTCTTTAAGGAAAAATGAGCTAGTTATTTTTATAAGCGAGTATAGGGTTTGTTTTCAATCCATTCTCTATAAACATTTTTAGGAAAACCCCAATGGGATAAAAATTGATCAAAGGAAAAAAGAGTACATGCAGTGCATATAATACTCCCCTTGGTTTTAACATAGCTCACAAAGACGTCATATAATATCCTAATCTTGTGCACTAATTGTTCAAATTTCTTCGAAGGAACAAACTTTGTAAACAAATCGACAAGATATTCACATGATTGAATTTGCTGTACATTTACCTTCTTTTTTTTTTTTTTTGGCATATCTCGTGTAAAGGACAATTTTGTAGATAGGTGTTTAGTCCTCTTTTAATGTATCCTTTGATTACTTGGGAGTTGCATGTAGTATTTTTTTTCGTAAATGATGGCTGGAATTTAAGTTACTCCAATTCATCCCACACTCTTCTTGGATATTGCCGATCATTGATTTGAGCCATACACATTCACGTCCTACTTCATACAGAGCGATCAACTAACCTTGCATGATTTGATGATGTTGCAGTTAAAGTCTGCTTTGTTGATTTCCAAGATAATGCAGTGCCACCATAAGTGAATAAAATATCCATCAGTTGCATCTGATGAGAGTGACATCTTGTGTTGATTGATGAACAAACCAATATCTTGTGTTCCTTGTAGGAACGTACCGAAATATTTGTTTTATTCCTTTCAAATCTCTATTAATTGGTGAGTTGCTATGCTTGAATAAAAAGTTCATAGAAAAAGCTATGTCGAGTCTAGTATTGTTAGCTAAATACACTAAGACACCAATTGCACTTACAAATGGTAATTTAGGACCATGAACTTCCTCGTTTTCTTCTCGGAGTTTGAATGAAAAATTTTTGCATTCACAGATTGAACTGGGTGTGCTTTGTCCATAAAAAAAATTTTAACACTCTTGATAACTGATTAACAAATAAATATTCTAATAACCAAAACATAACCAAGTGTAGATTTGCCCAATTGACCAAATTGGTAAAAAAAAAAAAAAAGACCCCTTACGAGATACAATTTGGTAAATAATCACTTTGACAACAATTTGGTAAAAAAAGTTAATTATGAGACAATTTGGTAAAAAAAATAAACTCAGGCCACATTTAGGCCAAAAATATCCTTTTTTTTTTTTCAGCCAACTCTTCAAAAGTCCTAATTGAATTGTTTTGTATTTTTTTAATTTATTTTTTCATTTAAAATTTAAACTATTATGTCATCTCCTTTTTATATTGCTAAATTTTGAATTACATAAATTTATTTCCAACCCTTTATTTTTTATAAAAATTATTAATAATGGGTAGGAAAATTAAGAGAACATTAGTATTTAAACCTTTTTTTTCTTCAAATTTTTATTTCCTTATAAAGGGTTGGAAATTTAGGTTGAAAAATATATAACCACGAAAACGATAGCAATCGCTAGTAGTTTGTTGGAAATTTTGTATTTTTAGGCTTAATTGTCGTTTGAGGTTAGGTTCGTTTTTTTTTTTTTTTTTTTTTTTTTTTTTTTTTTTTAACTTATTTGGTCAATTGACCGTGTAGATTTTGAGTAACATTGAAAGGAATGCTAAGAATTAATACGGAGTAATAACTAAAGATATTTGATAGTCTTCAATCCATTTCCCATTCTACTATTTAAAGATGCTTTTATGAGTAACTAGGGCAGCTAACGCGTGCAATGCGTGCTACAACTAGTCATATAAGGGGAGCTCTTTCGATTTGACCTACCTTATGTTACAAATTTAATTGTTGACATCATTGATAAGGACAAATATATAATTAAATAAATGTTTTTAGGGGTATAATTGTATAAATGTCCGTACACTATGCTTATGAGTTTTATGTTAGTGATGTCAAATAAGGAAATAAACATTTAAAAGATATTATTGTCCAAACACTATTCATAAAAGTTATATCATGTAAACAAATATTATTAGGGGTATATATGTCTATGCACTATTTTTAAGAGTTTTAAAAAATGAGCCAATTAATATTTAAGTAAATAAATTTTTTGAAGAATTTAATTGGTTAAACACTATTCATAGTAGTTGTTCGCAGGTAACTATTAGCTGTCAACGGTTGATTCGTTAAGATGGAATGGATTGGTATGAAATCTCATACTAGGGAGGTATGGATTCTAAACCCCATACTTGTCTAAACTTATTTGGTTTATTCTTTGAAATGGTTTTTACAATTCATTAAAAGAATGGATTGTGAATCTTGGGGATGAGGTGCAATTAGAATCCCTTGGTATGAAATTCCACATCTAAATTTGCCTACCCAAACAATAAAATGGATAGAATGGACTTTAACTCCATTTCAATCTATTCCAAAAACTCCAACCAAACGACCCCTAAAAGTTTTGATATCATTACCCTGTACAATTTTCCATCCAAAATTTTACGAATGCACGTTGTAGAACCCTCATATTTTAGTAAGGAAAAAACACTTTAATTAATAATCTCAACTATGGGCGATTTACTTTTTATAATCCTAACTAAGATTTTTATCTAACAATCCTAACTATGCTGTCAGTTTGCCTCCAATGGTCCCAACCGATTAATGACGAGTCAACAACCTATCATAACAGGTAACCATGACATGTATCAACACATGATTGGTCCAAAAAAAAAAATTTAAAAACATAAAAAAATAAAACAAAAAAAAGTCCCAGCCACCCTTTCCCCACCGTCAAATCCTAACCCCATCCCTAACTCGCCGAAAATCGACCAGGCACCCTCTCTTAACCACCCAAAACCGGCCAGCCGACCTTATACACCCCTTTGACCCACCCCGATCCCAAAACCACCCACCCACCCACCCAACCTAATCCCCAAAAACCACCAACCCATCCAGTAAACAAAGTGGTGATTTTTAGGGTCAGGGTTGGCTGAGAGGTGGGTCAAAGGGGGTGTAGAGGGTCGACCGACCGATTTTGGTGGTTAAGGGGGGTGGCCGGCCGATTTCCGACGAGGTTAGGGGTTGGGTTAGTCGGTTTGGTGGTTTTTGGGGGTCGGGGTTGGCTGGGTGGGTGGTTTTGGGGGGTCGAGGGTAGGTCAAAAGGGTATAGGGCCGACCGGTTTCCGGTGAGGTTAGGGGTGGGATTAGGGTTTGACGTTGGGAAAAGGTGGCTGGGAATTTTGGGTTTTTATTTATTTATTTATTTATGCTTTTTAAATTTTGGACCAATCAGGTGTTGACACGTGGCTATGCACCCCCCTCCCTACAAAAAAAGCTTTTTCTGCAGGTTACCGGTCAGGGACCATTTGAGCCAAACTAACAACATAATAGGGATTATTAGATAATAAAACTTAGTTAGGATTTTTAAAAGTAAATCGCTTATAATTAGAATTATTAAAGTGCATTTTTCATTTTAAAAATAAGCTACTTATTATTCTTATTTTCTTTAAGGAAAAATGAGCTAGTTATTTTTATAAGCGAGTATAGGGTTTGTTTTCAATCCATTCTCTATTTCTCTATTTCTCAAATTAAAAATATCACAATCAAACAGTAGTAATTAAAAATATTCTCTAATTCCTGCTACTCCAGTTCCTGGACATGGCTTTGATCTTTTGCAGTTCGAGCATTGCACCTATCACACCAACACATATTTCCGGTTTAAAGCCTTCAGATTACGAACTGAAACCTAGGAATGTCCGCCCATTACAGGTATATTTATTTACTGAATGTATTTCTTAATTGAATTTTGTGGTTTAACTTTTGTGTTATAACTGTTCTTTAAAATCTGGAAGATTTATAGAAGTTGCTTAGGAGAAATTCGTGGACTTTAATGCAAAACTAAATTTGATTGAGGTTCAAAACAAGCATCTGGGAGTTTTTATGAAATGTAATTACATATATGGTGACATGGTGTTGTAAATTTTATTTTCTTAAATTGTTTTTTTTTTGGGTGCAAAAATATATTAAGTCTTACTGGTAATAGTAAAGAGGCTGTTAATTAGGATAATGAAGTTATTAATCAAAGGAAACATTGGTTTTTGGAGTTGATTGAATGTAGTTTATTTACTGTAAAATAAATTTAAATTTATATAATCTTCTTGTTGGTGTTAAATGTTTGGATTCCTGGATCATATTTTGTATGTTTATCTTCAGAGTGAATTGTGGGTGTGGATTAGATGTTGAATTATTGTCGAAATGTGGTTGGACAAGCTGACATCTTGGATGTTTTAAATGGCAATTTAGTATTGGAGGTGTGGGTTAGAAACTGGAATTACTGTTAATCACGGCTGATTAATTGTGGTGGATTGGAAGGAGAGGATGTGTGTGAAAAGATAGACTTATTATGTATGGAGGAATGGGAGAGATTTTCGAAGGCAGAGGGTTCGGTAGACTTTTATAGTTTTATGACAATAGGTTGAGCAAAGACGTGTTTATAGAGCTGTCAAAACCAACCCGAATTGTTCCAAACTGTTTTGAAAAGGAACCAAACTGCTAAGAACCTGTTTTTTGAAAATCGAAAACCGACCCGTCCCAATTTTTTAAAACTCAGAAACTGAGCCAAACCTAAACCGTTAATGACCGGTACCCAAAATCAAGCCGAACCGTTAAAACCTAAAGCTGAAAACCCGAACCGATTGTGTCTGAACCCGATAGTAACCCGACCCATTTTAAACCAAAACCGTTTAAACCCGATACAACCCGTAACTCGTTATGACCGAACTGTTAACCCCTATAACTCGTTATATTTGAACCATTTACAACCCGTAACCTGTTGTGACCGAAATATTTACAACTCATAACTTGTTATGACCGAACCGTTTACAATCCGTAACTTTAATACTCATGGTAAGAGTACATCTTTAATTCTTTTATCTCCAATTTCTAGTAAAAAAGATTGGACAAATTAAAGTTTGTTGCTGGAAGATGGTTAGAGTTTTCATCAACTCAAAGCGTATGTCAGCTTACTAAGCAAATATTCGAGGAACTTCTAGCGTGTAGTTGGACAATTACTTTACCGACATCTTAAGTGGACTAAGATATGTTCTTAATTAAATTCATGCCTTTGTTATTTAGTGTTGACAACTTGACATTATGAACAACCCTAGGCCAAGTAGCGAATTTTAACAATTTTTAAAGTGATATTAGCAATTTTGGTTAGTGCATTAATTTTGAAATTGTAGTTGTGGACTAGAAAATTCCTAAAAAAAATTATAGAGTAATTAAGTAACAACATCACAATATATGAGAACAAATAAAACTTTTAAAAAGATACTCCCTCCGCTTTTTTTTAAAAGCTAGAGTTGCTAGTGTGTGGAGTTTTATGAGCTTCAGATATTATTTTAAGAAGTAAGTGAAAATATTTTATTGTAAACATTGAAAAGTGGAAGATTAAAATTTTATGTTTTAAGTGACCAGAATTGTTGAAAGGGGGTGGGGGTTGGGTGTTGGGTGTCCTGCAAATTACAACTAAGCCAAAAAAATAAAATAAAAGCGCCACTTTAATATTTCCAACCAAAAAGTTCGGCGGTAATCCAAATTTATAATTGAACAAGTTTCACAATTCAATTTTGAACCAAAAATTTCAAAAAACCGCTCAAACTCTGAAATTAACATATTTTGAATTTTCATTTGAAAATTTGCTTGTTATGGATGACTTCAAAAACATTCTTGTAATAGTTCTTTGTGGATTTATTATCCACTTAACACTATCTTGCTCGCCATGACAGCTTTTTAAGGGCGTGTAAGATGTGTATAGGAAAAAACCTCACATTGGATCAAATAAACAAGGCTTTTATTTTTTATGGCCAAGATCATCATATGTCACAGCAATGCAATAAAACCAACCAGTACTAACAGAGCAAAACAAGAAGGCAGGTCTGAAATTTTGTTTGGAATCTATCAATGAAAGCGCATTTGATACCTCACAAAGTATTTTTTAAGAGGCCATAAAGTCTCAAACATAAAAAAAAAACTAGCAAAAGACCCCAAAAATTCCATGGCAAAAGTACTGTGGCTAAAATAAAGCAAAAGCATCAGAAACAATAGCATCATGTGTACAAGAACATTAGCAGCAAGCAAGTGACAGTGGTAGCAGCAAGAAGTGGTGGCGGCGACAACATCAATGCGCAATACTAATTTGATGTTGCACTTTCAATTGACACTTCATTACTAATTACAAGAACATCTTTATTAATATCAATTTTATAACCAAGACACCAATTTTAGGTGGTTACTAACATCTCAACATTTTTAGGAAGAAGAGCACCCTTATACTTCAACAAAATACGACTTCCCATGCTAAATGAAGATTCAGATGCAACAAATGTTATAGGTTTGGCCAAAACATCTCAAGCAATATAAGATAATGTAGGATACAACTCAACTTTACCTTTCCAAAACCAGAGAATATCAAAGTTTTCCCTCGTTGCTACTTTTGTTTAAGGTAGAGCCAAATAAGAATTAAGATCAACCGTTAGGCTCCTCATTGAATTATCATCATCATCGATAGCACCACACTTCTAAAATAATTATGATAAGAAAGGGAAAAAAATACAATTTTTAATAAATTTATAAAAAATAAGGCATGCAAAATCATTTATAAACTAATACACATAGATATTCAATGCTGACAATGCAAGAAATCGACCCTCGTCGTTATCACCATTATCAAATTCATTAAAGGCTTTACTTGTTGGTTGATTTTTTTCCCTTAAGCTAGAAGTGGGAGGTTGAATAGAATCGAAAGAATACGTATAAGTAGGAGCATCCTTTACCTTTTTTTACCTTTGCGTCAACGACTTTTCCAACGTAAAACAAGTTGTACAATTGCCTCACACGTTGTTACTTATAGCGAGGGTCAAGAACAACAACAATTGCGAGAATTAAAGAATAGCTCTCCCAATAATTTTCAAACTTCTCCAGCATCATTGATGCCATAGGATGCAAACTTAGGATGTTTATGGGCTTCATTGATATAATACTTAATAAGAAGCACATTCTCAAAATACAAGTTAATCTACTCATGTATGTTGTAAAATGACAAGAGAAAGTTGCGTGCATTTTGAATAGTCTCCAACTCATCATCATCATCATCCACCTCCAAAAATCTACTGATATATGTTTTGATTGCAGGCTTAGCTTGTAAAGCTTTTTAAAGCATTAGATAGGTGGCATTTCATCGAGTAACAACATTAAGATACAATTTACCTTTAAATACACATTTAATGTAAAAAACAACTTGCCTAAATTGAGTAAGCCTAGAATCAGAGTCATTATATATTTGACCACTTCATGCAACTTATAAACACTTTCATTAACAAGCTCTAAACCTTTTGTGACAATTAGATTCAATACATGAGCACAACAACGAGCATAGAAAAATTTGCCTCCACGAGGAAGAGGAGATAATTTCATGACATCTTTCCTAAGCAAACCAACCATCACATCCATAGAACGGACATTATTATTAGTCATAGAGAAAATTTTAATCTGATGGTTTCATTATTTAATCAAATTAAAACAAAATTTTCTACCTCTAATCTAGAATGGGGAGGTTGACAATATCACTAATTCAGAAATTGAGATATGAGATTCTAATCATCATCCACATAATGAGCAGTCAAAGTAAGGTAGCCACGATTAGTATAGGCAGTCCACAAATCACAACTAAAACTAACCTTGTTACAGATTTTACCCAAATTATCAAACAATATGGCTTGGAATTTGTCATGCTCAACAATACAATACTTAAGAATAGTGTTCCTACAAATATGTTTCACATTCTTATTCAAGTAAGAAATTGCTTCCCTAAAATTTTAATGCTGAACCATTCGTAAAGGATATGCATGATAAGTAATAGCTTTAGCCCACTTACTTAACCAAAATTTTTGATCAAAAGAAGATATAGGTTGATCAAATGCAGAATTTATTTCCATTTTAGGTGCATGAGAACATACTTTAACATGATATTAACATGTTGAAGTACCCATGGTAGATTCTGCTTTGATATCTTATCCACAGTAATTACGCGTAGCATGTAGCATAAGTGGTAGTTGGTTTTTCATTTTTATGGAATTTTACCATAAAACCTTTCTGATAGAGTGAAATGTTTCCAGACTTTCGATCTTCGTCCGCGAGAACCACCATTAGAAGTACGGGCGCTACCTCTAATAACCTGTAGATTTGGGGGAGTAATAGTAGTGCATTGGTTCTCTACTGTTTGATTTTGAGACTCCACTCTTTCATAATATGTCTCTTGCATCATAAAATTCACATTGACCATTCATTACTACAAAACAATTATAAAGAGAAAAGATAGAAAATCAGTAACCAAATCACAAATTATTCCAAAATAAGTCACATTGTTCATGTTATTATGAACATTCATATTGACCATTCATTACTACAAAACAATTATAAAGAGAAAAGATTGAAAATCAGTAACCAAATCACAAATTATTCCAAAATAAGTCACATTGTTCATGTTATTATGAACTTCAAAAATAACACAAAAAAAGTGGTATTCCAAAATGTAAAGACTTATATTTTGAGACAGTGGAGTCTCAAAATCAAACAGTAAACTAATCTAATGCGATACTGTTACTCCCCCAAATCTACAAGTTGATGGAGGTAGTGCCCGTATTACTAAAGGTGGTTCTCGCGGACGAAGATCGGAATTCTGGCATTTTTCTATCTTGAAAGGTTTGATGGTAAAATTCCTAAAATAAATGAAAAATCAATCACCACTTATGCTACGTGCAATTACTATGGAGCAAATATCAAAGAAGAATTTTCTATGGGTAATTCAACATGTAAATATCATGTTAAAGTTTATCCTCATGCACCTAAAATGAAAATAGATTCTGCTTTTGATTAATCTATATTTTCTTTTGATAAAATCTTTGGTTGAGTAAGTGGGCTAAAGCTGTTATTTGTCATGCATATCCTTTATGAATAGTTAGTATCAATATTTTAGGGAAGCAATTTCTTACTTGAATAAGAATGTGGAACGTATTATAGTAACACTATTCTTAAGTATTGTATTAATGAGCATGACAAATTTAAAGCTATGTTGTTTGATAATTTGGGTAAAATTAATAGCAAAGTTAGTTTTACTTGTGATTTGTGGACTACCTGTACTTATCGTGACTACCTTACTTTGGCTACTCATTATATGGTTGATGATTGGAATCTAAGTCTCAAATTTTAAATTTCAGATATTGTCAACTTCCCTATTCTGGTTTAGAGGTGGAAGAGTTTGTTTTTAATTTGACTAAAGAATGAAACCTTTGAAATAAAGTTTTCTCTATGACTGTTGATCTTAGGTAAGATGTCATGAATTTTTTTCCTCTTCCTTGTGGAGGCAAAATTTTCTATGTTCGTTGCTGTGCTCATGTATTGAATCTGATTGTGAGAAAAGGTTTAGAGTTTGTTGATAAAAGTGTTTATAAGTTGCGTGAAGTGGTCAAATATATTGATGGCTCTGATTTTAGGCTTACTCAATTTGAGTAAGCTGTATTTAACGTTAAATGTGCGTTTAAAGGTAAATTGTATCTTGATGTTGTTACCTCATGGAATGTCACCATTCTGATGCTTCAAAAAGCTTTACAAGCTAAGTCTGCAATAAAAAATATATCAGTAGATTTTTGGGGGGGATTATAAACTCACTGATGATGAGTTGGAGACAATTCAAAATGTATGTGACTTTCTCTTGCAATTTTATAACATTACTGCTTTGTTTTCAGTCCTACTGCTAACTTGTATTTTGAGAATGTGCTTATTGGGTCTTATATCAATGAAGTCCATAAACATCCTAAGCTTGCACCTATGGCATCAATGATGCTGGAGAAGTTTGAGAATTATTGGAAGAGCTATTCTTATATTCTTTTAATTCTTGACCCTCGTTATAAGATTCAACGTATGAGGCAATTGTATAACTTGTTTTACGTTGGAGAGGCCGTTTACTAATATGTATTCTTTCTGTTATGCTCAACCTCCCACTTTTAGCTCAAGGGAGACACCCTATAATGAATTTGATAATGGTGATGACGACAAATGTCGGTTTCTTGCATTGTCAGCTGCATATAAGGTGAATATTTGTGTTAATTAGTTTATCAATGAGTTTGCATGTCTTATCTTTTATAAATTTATTAAAACCTGTGTTTTTTTCCCTTTCTTTTGATCATTATTTTAGAAGTGTGTTGCTACCGATGATGATGATGATTCAATGAGGAGTCTAACGGTTGATCTTGATGCTTATTTGGTTCTACTGCAAACAAAAGTAGCAACAGGGGAAAACATTGATAATTCTCCAGTTTTGGAAAGGTAGGGTTAAGTTGAGTTGTATCCTACATTATCTCGTGTTGCTAGAGATGTTTTGGCCATTCTTATAACTTCTGTTGCATCTGAATCTTCATTTAGCATGGGAGGTTGTATTTTGAGGAAGTAAAGGGGTGCTCTTCTTCCCAAAAATGTTGAGATGTTAGTAACCACCTAAAATTGGTGTCTTGGTTATGATACTGATATCGATGAAGATGTTCTTGTAATTGGTGATGAAGTGTTAAATGAAAGTGCAACATCAAATTAGTATTGCTTGTTGATGTTGTCGCTGCCACCACTTGCTGCCGCTAATACTGTCACTTGCTTGGTGCTAATGTTTTTGGACACATGTTGTTTCTGCTGCTTTTGCTTTATTTTTGCCATAGTATTTTTTGCCATTGAATTTTTGGGGTATCTACTTGCTGGCATTATTTTAATGTTTGAGAATTTGTGGCCTTTTGAAAAATACTTTGTGGGGATATCAAATGTACTTTCGTTGATAGTTTCCAAACAAAATTTCAGACACGCCTTCTTGATTTGCGTTGTTAGTACTGGTTTCATTGCATTGCTGTGACGTATGATGATTTTGGCCTTAAAAAAGTCTTGTTCTCTGATCCAAAGTGAGGTTTTTTCTGGATGAAATACTCATCTTGCATGCCCTTAAAAACTTGAGGATCGAAGCGGCCACATAGATAAATAGATTAGCTTTGGGGGTGGGGGTGGGGGTGGGAGGGGGGTGGGGTGGTGGAGAGGAGGGTCTATTGCATATCTAAATATGTCATGGATTAGTAAATTAACTTTCTATACTAGGTTTTTTATTTGTTTTTGGATAAACGCGCTATCTTCACACTTGTCAATGCATGACTTCATCCATTAATATCTTTGATTATCATTTTATCTATTAGTAAAATTATAAATGTCCAATAATTTGAAATGTACATTGGGATTTATCTAACAAGATCTCATATGACTATGCTTTTCTTAAGTATAAACACTATAAAATAAAGAGAGTGAATAGTGTAAAAGATTTATCTTAAAAAATAATAAACAGAGGTAAGTATAACTTTCACGGTGTAATAGAATCCCCTCCCTCAAATGGTACCACCATCTGTACTTTGTTTCCTAAACATGAATATTTGGGGCAACATCTAGAAAGGCTGATGTATAGTGTGGATAGAAGCGTGATTTGTCGGAAAACAGTTTTGATTGCTTTTTTAGTTGATAGCTGTTAAAATCTTGTTTTTACGTACTTTACAATGTACTTTGGTATATCCAACTGGTCAGCAGAATGTCACAATAATGTGACTTGGAATTTCAGGGTTATGACAAACAGGCTAATATTCTTGTTCTGTATGTTAAACTTTACACCATTCTTGTTGATGGTGGTTTACTGCTTGTTGAAGGTAAGGTGTAAGGGGAAATCAGAACTGGAAACATCCAAGGGACTCTGTTTTACTCGAAGAGATGTGATGATTTGTTTGACCACTTTGTCAGCAAGTGGGATTGGACTATCATCATCACCTGAAATTGCTGAAGCACGCATTACAAAGAAAGAAATGCGTCGGAAAATCAAAGAGAAGCTTGAAATGTTGAGAGAAAAAGCTGGCCTTTCAAAGCAAAAAGATAACAAGGAAACACCACCCTCCACAGAGTATATCCTTCCACTAGTTCCATCTCCTTTTCCACTTCCAAATCCCCCTATGGGATTGGAAAAGTCACTAGTAGAAACTACTTTTTTATAATTACTAGTTGAAATGGAATTGTAAAATTTCATTCTCAAACATGCATGCCTGTTGCTAGTTTAGCAGGCTTGTTCAGCTGTTTACTGGAGTTTCCCTTTATGGGTACTGATGGTTAGTCCTCTTCTGTAGTGACAGCTTTACTGTAACGGTGTAACCTCAGTCGCTAAAAACTTTAGTTCTGTACATAAAAATCCCATTGCAAAATTAGGGAACTTTCTTTGTAAATATCAACTGTTAGAATGTCCCTTTATGGGTACTGATGGTTAGTTCCCTTCTGTAGTGACAGCTTTACTGTAACGGTGTAACCTCAGTTGCTAAAATCTTTAGTTCTTTACATAAATATCCCATTGAAAAATTAGGGAACTTTCTGTTAGATATTAACTGTTAGAATGTCGGCAATATGCACACTTTTGGAGATAGATTAGAAGTTGTATGCTGTTATGATTCACCTATATATATTCATATCTTGGCTTCTGTAGGTTCTGTCGGGCTTTGAAAAAGATTAGTGTTGATGATGGATGTTCTCCTTATCTGCCTGTTTGTTAAGATTAAGTTTATCTTATCTTTCTAGGGAAAGATCTGACAAGTTATAACTTCCAGGAATAAATTGCTCTCTGTTGGCCTGCCCCAAAGCTGGTCAATTTATCAAGGTATTTTTTGTTTAAATTTGCTAATTAGGTGTTGGCTATGCAGGTAAGCCTTTGTATCAGGCTAAAACATAGTGATTGTTCAGTTAGCCGCAAATAGTCAGTTTACATGGAGTTGTAATTCTGTCAATTATCACCGGGTTGATCATCAATAGATCTTTTAGTTAGGAGGGCATTAGATAATAACTTTCCATGTACACTTAGGATTTTGTTCATTGTAACGTTATGGGGACTATGGAAAACAAGGAATGCAAGATGCTTCAAAGGAGCTATGGGAACTAAAAGCTTAGTGACGGAGTTTATAAATCAAGCAATGAAAGACCATGAGACTTTTGTAGAACAAGCTACCACAACAAGTGAGTTGGAGGCTACTAGTAGGGACAATCCTATCATTCCCCTGGGTTTCAATCATGTGTTTCTTGGAAAGGAAAAGATCGGTTATGCTGATTTCATTGTGGAAGCTGATGGCTCCTGGGATAAGAAGTTTTTGAGAGCAGGGATTGGTTGGGCAGTCAAGACTAATCTCCAAGGCTATTCACTCGATGAGGGCGGAAAACACGGTGCTGCATCGTTAGTAGTGCAATGTGAGGCTTGGGCTTGCCTTGAAGTAATGAAATGGGCTAGAGCTAGAGGTAGGCAAGGAATCCTACTTTTATCCGACTTTCTGTCCCTCCTAAGTAACTTACAGGACAACCCTGGCAAGGAGATCTCGATAATCTGGCTATTACAGGAGTTGAGGGAAGTGGGGGCTTGGTTCCAAAGATGCACGATTTTAAAAGTCTCTAGAGATCAGGTTCAAAGGGCCAATGACATTGCAAAAAGATGTTGGCTTACCCTTTTTAATTTGGAGCAATGTTGTTTGTCTCTCCTTTGCTGTTGTAAAAAAAAAAAGTCAACCAAACTACATTTTACCAAAATTTTTATTACCTGCACAGTTATATACTTATATCAACTACAAGAATAATTATGTTATTGCATTGAATGTCGCAGTGTCATGTCTTCATTATCAGAGTTAAGCTCACGGTGAGAACAATTGGGAACTCACCAGCATTTGAGGTCATGGTAGTGTGCAGAGGATTCTGAGTCTCTGATTCTGTATCGGGTTTTATCAGGAAGGATACTGTTATTCTGTAAGTTATACTTGTGAAAAATCAAAACTCATTGCCCAATGTATCATATAAGATTATATAAATGACCTACTTTTTTTGACAAGATATAAATGACCTACTTAAAAGCAGCCATATGATAACAATGGAAAGAATTACAAACTCAGATGAAATTGACAAACACTAGTTTAAATGTTAAATACAATATACATCTCTTCAAATTCACAACAAACTCCTTAACACTGGAAAAAAAAAAACAGCTAGTAAATCTTTATTAAAACACAATCATAAAACTGGCCAATGATATATCATCTGCACTGCCTCTTCTCTAGCCAAGGAAAGCAACCAAAGCAAGTGGCAAACCAATAATCAAAGGAGCCACACTTGAAAGCCCTGCGGCTCCATTGCTACCAGCCGGAGTAGACGAAGATGGAGTGGTTGATCCTGAGGGCGTAGGTGTTGATGATGGGGTAGTTGATCCTCCGGACGCTTTGGCAGTTACTTGTAGCTTCATGCCTCCAGAACAATGTCCAGGGGTGCCACAAATGAAGTATGCTGGACCCTCCTTTAAAGTAATGGTGGTTTTTCCATCAGTGTGTGTTTCAAGGGCATTGCTAGAAGCACAACTGTCGTAGGCACTTTTGCTTACTTCTTCCACATTGTGTGTCCCATCGTAGGTAAAAGCTGGTATAATCACAACCGATTCCATATAGTAATTAGTTATTTATACGAGTGTTTTATGTAAGAATGCAAAGCTATAAGTTTTCAATGATCACGCCGATGTTTCATCAAATTAAAATTCTCATCTAATCCTTTTTACTGACCTAAGTCGTGTTACTAGTCAATAATCGTTCGGCCTAGAGTAGTTGTCACATTAGTCTAATCTATCGTGATTAGTTCAAGGGTGTAACATAATACTGAAAACTAACACTTTGCACATCAGGTACTTGGGAATAGATGAGAGGATAAGGGAATCTCTACCCCCAAGTACCCTGACTTGGTAGAATTCGGACTCCAAATCTTTAGGACATGAGGTAAAAGGCTTATCAAATGAGCCAACACTTTGTTGATAGTATTATTATTATAATTATAGATGGAAATACACGAGAAGATTAGATACGTATTCTCAAACATTATTATAGATATGATTTCTCCCTTCAAACAAAAAATACTAGTATAAAAATATAGATATGATTATTGAAGGAGGGTTAGACTAGGGGAGAATAATATATATTGCACTATTTTTACAGTGACTAGTTTTATTTTTGGTTGGACAGCCATTAGCTTGCATTATTAATGTTTGATACAAACAAGGAAGTATGATTATCTTTCATTTTCAGTAACAATAAGATGAGGACGACTTAAGATAAATATAACTTAGAACTTACGACATTAAAAAAAGGACAACTTTAAAGTCAACTAGCATATTATAGATTCAATGACTAGTGGGGTGATAATAAGCTACATACTAGACTAATGAAAAATGACAAGCCACCCCTTATCTTAATCTTGTCGAATGTCAATTAATTATTCTATTAAACATAAATCCGCTTAATTAAAAAAAAGAGCCGGTTGTATTAAATACTTCTTTATACTTTATTTATTAATTTATTTATTTATCATTTTTTTTATTGAGTCATATTAAACATATACTTCCTTTGTTTTGTAATAATTACAATGTTTTCCTTTTACATCGCTTTTATAATATTTGCAACACTTCCTTATTTGGTAAAGACCCATTATTTTTCAGTATTATTTTTATTAATTTTCTATCTTAGTAACCCTATTTTCACAAATATTTTATACATCTTTCTCTTACCAACCTCACTTCAACTATTATTATTGTTGTTGTTGTTGTTGATGTTGTTGTTGTTGATGTTGTTGTTATTATATTTCTCTTCTACTAACTAATAACTATACTTTATATTATTGGCTCCGTCTTTTTGAAATGCATTACTTGTATTTACACATTTGTCGAGACATAACTTTTTCCATCAATATTTTCTTATTAGATATTAGAAAAAATTATAATTAAATTAAATTGTAAAAGTAGACACTGTGACTGATCCAACAACATAATACACGATAACATTTATTTATTATATGTTAGTTAAATAATTAAAAAAAAACAATAGATGAATAGTGTAAAAACTCAAGTGATGCATTTAAATTATATGTTACTAATTTAAATAGAACGGTTTGTCTAATGTGTTCCCATGGTCACATTTTAAAGGTTGGGAGAGAATTGCATAATCACATGTCAAAACTATTATATAGATTTCACTACTTTAGGCTCAAGTTAATTTATGTGAGTAGCAGGTATGCTTAAGAAATAAAGTGTATAGGAAATCTTCTAGATTTATAATTATAAACCAAAGGGAGAGAAAACTTACTAAGCGTATCACCAGCATTTAGCGATTTGGTGGTCCATGACGAGTAGTCAGTGCCTAAGCTCCATGTAACGGGGTAGTCCATGGCAAAGACCACCGGTGCAGCCATCAGGATCACTAGAAACACCGCTGCAAACGCCATCTCTCTCGCTCTCGCTCTCGCTCTCGATGTATATAATGCAAATTAAATGGTACAAGTCTAGAAGAGAAGCTAAAAAAAGGTGTACTATATCTATATGTTTATCTTCAATGGGGCTGCATGTAACATTATATAGGAAAAACTGGTCTTAAAATGACAGCGAAAACTAGGATTTGAACATGATTATTTATTAGTTGGCTATAATGATGTTTATCCAACTAATAATATTAATTAAATACAACATCATTGTATAAACCAATTGAAACACGACTTTCACATAAATCTAAAGACATTCAACTTTTGGTTGGTAGCTGTTATTCCTTTACCTAATATGCACGTTTGAGTAATGATTCTAGACTCTACTAACTTCGTACCAACTACTATGCATATTAGTATAATTTACTAACTTCTCAAAATTTTAATCCTTTTGACTTGAAAATAGGTAACCTCCATGATGTAACATGGTGTGCACGTCTTAAGGCGTCGTCCTATGAAAATTTCTATTATTCATTCATAGTACGTAGCTAGAGTTGCGACTTGCTAGACGCCTTTATATTGTATGATTATTCTTACCTATTGTTCCTATTGTTATATGATGATGTTATACGATAAGAATTTTCTTTGTACTTGCTTTTCATCGTCTTCGAAACAAATCTTATAACATTATTACCTTTATTTGAAAATATCAAGTAGTAAGTACTCTCTCCAACAAACTCTTTTATTTATTTATTTTTATTTTTATTATTATTATTATTATTATTATTATTATTATTATTATTATTGTGTCATCTGCAATCTTGCATAATTTTTAATTTGTATTGTATAAAATTATAAAAATTTAATATTTGAAAAATATAATTTGAGACGAATTAAATAAGATTGAAGAATCTTTAATAACAAGATCCTAAATAATTACTTTTTTTTTATTTTTTTTTATTTTGAAAACTAAATACTTTTTCTTAAGGTAATGTATTATGAAGGCATTGCAGCCTTTTTAAAAAATGATATCCGCCGCTTACTTTCAAAAAATAAAATAAAATAAAATAAAGGCATTGCAGCCTTTAGGGCTTAGAACATAAAGCCATGTTCAGCAAAAAAAAAAAAGAAAAAAAAAAACCATGTTCAATTCACCTTATTTTTTACTTATTTCAAATTAAAAAAAATAAGTTTAGATCAGAAATAATAAATTTTGACATGTTTTATTATTTTATGTGTGGT